CGTTTTTAACATTACTTGCCCTTTTTTATTTGTAAATTTGAAAAATGAAACCACTTAAAACAGGGATCACTCTTTTTGAATGAATTTGTGCAATGATTGCTGTTAAATATTGAAGTTCGGACAAAAAATTCTACAACTTTAATCGACATCCTTTTTTAATTGCATTATTAGCACGCAATACGTTAAAACACATCCAATGGAACTGAAAATCAAACCACTGTCGATATGTATAACACCTAAAATAGAAATATATGTGGGTTCGATTTCACTTAGTGACTTCAGAAGCATTATTTTCTTCACATTAGATGAATCCAGTGTACATTTCTGTAATAGTAACATCAAAATTATATTTTGCATATTGTTTCTAGCTGTCTTCATCGCAGATGGTATTCTGGATGCAAAGTAAAAGAGACCTAAAATGCAGCCAGCACAGATAATCATTGTAAGAGTAAACTCAGCCGTTGCAATTGTTTCCGAACGACCAGTTTTGGACAGACCAACAGCCAAGCCTGTGTAAACGACTGTGAAATATACTGAGAGCATGAGAAAGAGGGGGAGTTGGAAACACTTGTCCAGTTGTTTGCAACATTCAGTAATTGCCACGTAAGATTTAATGTAATCTATCAGATTCCCCGATTCTACGCTTTCAGCCAAAGATTTGCAATGGTGATTCAGTATTTTGCTCAGTTTCCAGCAAAAGATGCAAAACAAAAATACGAATATGCTGGCAATGGAAAATTTCACGGTGAAAAACGACAATGTGCATAGAAATAGAGCAGCACATTTTTGTAACTGACTGTGCGATTTTAAAATCTCTAATCCCCAGAACTCCAAATATTTCTCATCAGGAGAGTAGAATCCAGCTGTCATCATTCCAGCGGCATAAATAAAAGGAATTGCTATGACTATAACAAGAACTACATTTGCAGTTGGAATTCCTTTCATGCATTTATGGGCTGTTAAATTTTCAAGTCTTCTAACTCTTACAAGGAACGCGTGAATACTTCTGTGCTTGTATACCATAAAATGCCATAAAATGAAAGAAATGGAACTACAGAGAAAGCACATTACTTCTAGTTTTTTTAGGTTAGGGACTTCATCCTTGAAAATAATAAACATTGAATGTAAAAATAAAAAATGAAAGAGCAAGCTGAAAGGACGAAAAAGTTGCCTGAAATATATTTTGATAAGACTTATTTTTTCATCAATTTGTTGAATTCTCACACTCATCAGAGATATCACTTTAAGAATCCATCCGAAGGCAGGAGTGTACAGCTTCGTTTCTGGCAATGGAAGTGATAAACTTCTTAAACGTTTTATGGTCATTTTTGATCAGGTAATATAGGTATCCCAAATTTTATTCAGGGAAAACGTATCACTGTCGTTTCTTCGTAGCTCTCATCCAATTTTTCAATAATACTCTGTATTAAATTTCGTTTCGCCGCTAAAATTTCCAAAGGAAGAAAGCAGCAAGAATATATTTTCTTTCAGAAAAAATTAAATATGATAATTTTCAAAGCAGTATTATAAAAGCACTATTTCGTTTTGCTTTACACAAAACTACGAACCTCTGATTAATGCTTTGCTAGCAAGTTTCGAGGTCACTTTAACCCAAAACATACACTTGATAAATGTTTATTCTTCTTATATTTGCCCATATTTATAACCTATATTTTATTTTCTATGTGCAAAAGGCAAACAAGACTGTAATTACTAATACTTTTCTTATTATTGAAGGGCTTAGTTTAATAGACTTACTTTTAAATAGCAACAAAGTTTTGAAACTTTGTCATTTTCCGTTGCACTCAATCATTGGCATATTCTACAAGCATGATTGAAGAGTGATATTTGTGATTATAGAAAGCCTAAACTGTAATTGCACAAGAAAATCAATTATTTTTAATACACTTTGCCAAAAAATGAGCAGCACCATTGACATTATGCAGCAATCTTTGCAGACCGACAAGGCCGCTTCATTATTCATTTCCCCGAATGCAATATAAGATGTATTTTTAGCAAACAATAATTTATAATGGCGTTTTAAATAATGGTTGAGAGAAATAAAAAGAAAAGTTGTGTTGAACAGCAAAAGACTACAACAAATACTAAAGCATGGAGCACAAAATAATAAAAGCACAGGAAATTAATACTTCTTTTTTACCTTTTCACCCATTCTTCTCTTCTATCCTTTATTTTAAACCATTGCACTGAAAATTATCACACTAATTTTGTGTAATAATTGTGTGAATTGATTTAAATTTATTAATAAATGGTAAAAGATGAGAACTGCCTTCACAAAAGACTTCCTCAAGAAATCGTAGCTAAGTATTTTTTTTTTTAAATCATTACATGCTTCGCCATTAGGCACTGCATGGAAAGAGAGACGACTTTTTAAGGGAGACTGTATACGTGTTACATACTATATACAGTGAAAACCACGAAAAAGCCCATGCAGGCAGCCCATTTACCGAGACTCGATCCCCGAACCGAACTACCAGTGTTCAGCAGCTTTTACTGCTCGCTCGCTGGTGAACTGTCATAGCTCATACCTACGTATCACATAAGAAAAATCACGAAACCCGAGCAATCTTCCAAGGCCGAGAATAAAGCCGGAGGAGAACCGCTGGTATTTCTTGACTTCAGTCACATAGCCATTGTATGGAAAGCAAAAGATATAGGGAATCACTCACTCAACGATCTAAACTTTGGTTCTGTGTGAGAATGTCAGGCGAATTATTGCCCTGTATTACTACAGCAATAATAAATTTAGAAAAATTTTAAACAACCTTTTTATTAACGCTTCAAACTTAACATTTTGCACAGCTCGTGTTAACAAACTTTATGTCTACTACTTGCGGAATTAATCTAACAGAAAATTTAGAGTAAAACTTAATATGTTGATGGCCGCTCGCATTTTACGTTGTTTACCCATGGCGCCAACATGAAGTTTTTATTATGCGATGCATATTATGTTGAAATATTATTTACACAAGATAAGGTGAGTAATATAATCGTGTTTAATGCATTTTTTGTGCGGAGGTCACCGGTGACCCCCGAGGCGTTGTGATTTATTATTTAAACTTTTGCCATTTAGAACCATTACTAATGGTATTATTTAAAAATTTATCAGTATCAATTTTTACTCTAATCATGTATTTTGACTATTGGTCGCTTCGCCGGTCACCGGTGGCCCCCACGGCGAGTCGAGTGCTGGCCACTCGTGACCCCCACGGCAGTCAACGCTTTAAAGAAATTAACACTGGAAATTTACAAAGCAATCAATCATTAACTCAGATATGTATAAATTGTGCGAGAAAACTCTATCAACAAAAGACTAATGCCGCTATAAAGTAATTCTCAGAGCTGAGCGAGAAAATATTACACAAGTGAGCGTCGTTGCGAAAGCTCTCACTCCAACTTTCAAAACCTCTCTTCGTAAAAACACATAGCTAATTTGCATCCTGTTTGGAGTTGAAAAAGGTACAAGTCATAGCATAGATAAAATAATAATATAATGGATTAATTTACTAAAACCTTGCAATTAAAATTTGGGCTAAATATGGCAGGGGTAATTGAAGCAGTTTTTATTTTTGTTTGTTTTGAAGCAGTTTACAGTATATGGCATTTCCAGCTAAGATTTAATTCCACAGTTAACTGATACATAGTTAAAATTTTAATTATTTGACTTATATTAACGCTATTTGTCAACATTCGTAAGCTATCTAATATATTGTCCAAATTACTATTTATTCATTAAAAAAGTTACTACTAAAGTCATGAACTATTTTATAATCTATGTTATGAAAACTCGCGCCTGCTGGACATTTGTTATTTCAAAAATGTGTTTCGTAAATATTCGAAATCTGTTACAAATGTAAATCCACCAAAGCACCAGCTGTTTAGATTTGTTACATGTAACTTCACGTCAAAATTTACCAAAATAATTTTGTTAATACATTGCGGAATGAAATTACACAATAGACTATTTATTGATATTTTTTGTAAAAAATATTCTTATTTTCTAAGTATCCAATCCGAAGAGAATGCAGTAAACAATTACTAAAGAGCAATAAAAAGTACTTTTTCAAACAAATTATTACTTTTTTTTTCATTTAGAAGTCCCAAAATTAAAATAATAAAATTTAAGCATTATTTCATGTAACTAATTGATATTTTGAATTGTACAAGGTTTTAGTTGTTTGTGTTCCCATAATTAGTTTGCATATTTTCATACATCTGCATATTAAAAAATAACCGGTATTATATTTTCATTCGGCATTTTAATATGAACATCAGTGGCATAAAGAAATAGTTGGTAAAAATAAAATTACGAATATTCATGGACATCTTATTTTTGAAAGTACGATGTATGATTTTTAAGTAACCAAAATCGCTATAAGAGAATTCTATGAATTTCACATTACCGTGGAATGATCTGTATAGCCGTGTAAAAATTTTATGTTTCATGTCATTAAGTTAAATAAGAATACTTCACAAGAGTTTCTAAGAAATTACCATCGGAAAATGGACGATGTTCAAACATAGGACTTTTGGCTTGGCAGATCAATATTTTCTCCTTTATGCTACAAAATCAAATCAGAAGAATGTCTATAAATAGTTACAATTCCCTCACTTGGAAAAGAGTAAAAGATCCTCAGACGATTAGTTTCAGATCAGTGAGATATTATTGTCTGCTTTATTTGATGCATGATGATCAGAAACAAGTTTAAAGATTTCTTTTTATTAAAGATCTCTTTATATTTACAGAAAATAGGCCTTTGTCATTCGAATTTAATACGCCAAAATCGTCGGATTGATGCGTTACTCATTAAACTACAATATCATAAAAAAGAAATGCATTAATCTCTTGTCGCTCCTCAGTTTTTAAAAATTTCTATACATTCTGTACAGTTTCTGACACTAATTCTGTTGAATACTGATATAACCTTCGTTTTGATCTGAAACTCTTGTATTGTTTAAACGTCTGATTGTTCACTTACTTTTGGAAGAGGTCCATCACTTAGATTATTTGGATCGAAGTAATTTCTCAGTTTCCACGTCCATGGACCCTGAGCTTTGACGTGCACAGATAAGTAATTCTCATGAGGCGCTGAAGTCAGTGTCAGAGAATGGTACTCGGCATTTCGGAAAGCTGTACAACTCAGCCGGATCCATTGACCGGACAGGTATTTGAAATTCGGTGGCCGGGCGAATTTTACCTTCGTTACATCTAAAAAAATGAAAAAAGGAAAGTTTTTTTTTTTTCAATAATGAATGTAACCGAAACTGTATCTATGAGATATGTAAATAACGTAATGAGACTGGTAGCGTAGTTTTCGATCTGAAAGCCCTGCAGAATTTCCGTTTCGGTGGGGGAAACACTCGATATGCAACGCATACGGGTTTGAATTGCGTAGTCACGTAGTTTTCCGTAGGATGCTCTTTTGGTACACCTGTTTTTTTCTTTAGAGCATTTTGAAAATTAGTGACATCAATTTTGAACAACGTTGTGTTATCAGATTTTGCCTAGAAGCTTTTTGCAGAGCTTCAGCAGGTCTATGGACTCAATGTTTTGTCAAGAGCCAAGGTTTTCATATAGTTTAAGGAATTTTAAAAAGGGAGGGAGTCGATTGAAGGCAAACTTCACGCGGAAGGGCCTGCAACTGCAAGAGCTAAAGAAAATGTAGTCAGAATGCGGAATCTTCTGCGCTCTAATCGTCGCTTGGCAGCCCAAATGATCAGAGAAAAGTTTATTCACACCCCATTCAACAGATTTTGACAAATAAATTGGAAGATGAGGAAAATCTGTGCGAAAATTGTTCCAAGAAAGCCTTTTGTTGGAAAAAATGGAAAATAAGAGGGACAAATACCTTGATTTTTTGGTACGGAATGAAACTGATCCTCATTTTCTGGAACATGTCATGACTGGTGACGGGTGTTCGAGAACGATCCAGAAATGAAGCGCCGAAGCTAGGAATGGAACACTTGAACTTGTCACCAGCAGAAAAAGTGTCAATGAGAGAGTCGGAGATAAAAAATATACTGATTTGCTTTTACGGTGGCCTCTGAATCGTCCACAAAATGTTTGTACCTTCAGGCGAATCGATACTTTTGCGAAACGTTCTTGAAAGTCTTCAAAAAAGGGTCATATGTGCGAGACCAAAAATCAAGGCCAACTGGGTACTGCTTCACGACAATGAGCCTCGTCACTTTGCATTTTCAATTAATGAATTTTTGGCAAGTAAGAACATCTTGAGGCTCTTCAGTACTTTATCCCCCCCAACATGAGGACATATAACTTCTTTCTGTTCCAAAGATTGATAAAAAGGACGTCATTTTTTGGATACTAGAAAAGATGAAAACAGCCCTGACTGACCAGATGAAGGTGATTCTAGTATCCCAATTCCAGTACTATTATGAAGAGTGGAGAATCGTTTCCAGCGCTTTGAGGCTTCCCAAGGTGATTACTTCGAAGAAGACAAAATGCACTGTAATTTTAATTGAATAAAAAGTTATAAAAATAACAGCCTCATTGTTTTATTTACACACATCGTATGTTTCATGAACTTCACATCTGCAAGCGGACAAAAGAAAACTTTCCTCACTATGATATAAAAATAAAAAAAATAAAAAAAAATATTAAATCTTAAAATTAAATCTCAAAGTTTCTTCAGAAAATAGCAAACAACTATTGTATAATTAAAACACAATAACACGCCGAGCAAATACTAATTCAGAAGTCAAACAACAAAAACTCAACATTATTAATCACCCAACATTATTAATCAAACAGTTAAAAAATTTTCATCTCAACACACTAAAAGGCACACTCTTGTTTTAGGAGATTATAAAAATTCTGTTATCATTCCCTTCTTTCCATCAATTAGCTATAAAGTTGCACATATTTTGCAGAAATTTAACTTTCGGGTCGTTTATTCTCCCATCAATAAAATTCCGAGTTCCATACTCAAGGACCCCATTCCGGATATGAATTCCTGGGGTATTTATAGGATTCCTAGCCAGTGTGGTTTAATTTATATTGGCCAACCTACGAGAGCCTTAAAATTTCGCGTCAAAGAACATGAGGCATATGTTAGAAAATAGGAAACACAGAAGTCTTCTGCTGCTCAACATTGTTGGTCTGAAAATCACACTTTCAATTTTTCTGCTGCCAAAATTATTCAAAAAACATCTTCCATTGGAGAAGTGGATTTTCTAGAGGCATTTCACATTCAAAAAAATCTTTCTGTTCTAGTTAACGATCCTAATTCCAATCCATTTTTGCCTTCGGCCTTTAAAGAAATTATGTTTCAGTTCTGGTTTCACCAACAGATGGCACCACTTGCTTATTCTTGTTCAGGTTTCTTATCTTATCCAATCATTATTTCCTGTCTTGATCATTTGCAGCTGAGGATGGTGGTTCGGTAAAACCATCGAAACCAGTCCTGTGAAAATTTTGAAAATATAACGCTGATTTTTGTTGTTTGACTTTTGAATTAGTACAATGTCATTTGCTTTGTATTCCTTATTGGATAAATTATATATTCAAAATGAATATTTTCAAGTGCCTAATTTATTTCATGCAACATATATTTAGTCCTACCTGAAGGCAACAATTCTGTTTCTATTATTTCCAGCTCCATATATTTGGTTTGCAGACTGATAATTTTGTCTAAAGTGAAAACAATAGCGGGCCCAACGAAAAACATCCAAAATCGAGGGTTCTGAAATAAAAACAATATTAAAATATAGAATTTTAATCAAAATAAATCGAGATGATACTTAAATATAAACTTCTGTGTTTTTCAATATACTTTCGTAAAACCTCATATTTGAATAATGCTCAGGTAAGCGTCATTTATCCATAACATAAAAATAATAAAACTAGAAGTTTTGTTCTGAGTAAGTGATTATAAAAATCAATTTCATTGACCTATTCAAATAATTTTAGATTACATGTTATTAAATCTTTGAAGATATTGAGGAAATTGAATGAAACGAAATTTTTTAAAATAGTCATAAACATCTAGATTCTCATGAAAGTCCTATTCTCAAAAGACAAAATAATGATGACAGAAACTCTATTAATTATAATAATTAAATTAGAAGCAAGAAAAGCATAGCTACTGAAATTTCAATAGCAATAAAATTATTTAAATAATGGCATTTTGAAACAAGACAAAAATCTTTTAATTTTTTAAAGTAACTCTGAATTATATCATGAAAATAAGATATTCAATCAAAGCTAAATGTAGTATTAAAAGAAAGGTGATGAATTCTCATATTTAACATACTAAAGCAGGGAAAAACTTTAGTTAAAATTTCTTCGATTTGAAGCTCATACTTTACATTACAAATAAAGAAAAGAATCAGAAAACTGACAACAGTTTTAAATTGATGTTTTCTGTGAAATCAGAAGTTTTGAAATAAAAATTTTAATAATTATTACGTTAAGTGTGCGTAAGATATAGGCTTATTTTAAATTTTTGTTCTTTATTAAAATACTTATGTAGCTCTATTTTGTAGAAATGAAGACCATGACTTATCCTTTGTATTAAAGTCCGAACTTCTGTTTTTGTGCGAATATTCATTAATACATAAATGAGCATAAATTTCTGGACATTAATTGTCCAGAAATATACAAGTGAAATACCATAGAAATTACTCAGAAACGGTACTTAATATAAAAGATCATCTTATATATTAAAAGTTGTCATTGATAGTAATCAAGTTCATAAAATAAATTAACCAACTTTGAAAATAAACAAATCAAACTAGTTATATGTTTATATTAAATGAAAGGGAAATATGATTTCAAATCAACATCAAAATAAATATAAATTTTGAAGACATTTATTGTCAGTGATACTTACACCAGTAAGCTTAGCTAAACCATGAATAAGACAGAGTATGTACAGCAAAATATACAGACTGTGGGTAGTCCAAAAATAACTGTAAGCTTTTTGGCGGATCTTGGGATGGGCAAATATAAATATAATACACACGATTATGAAAAGTAAGACACCTGTGATTCCTAAAATAAGAATAGAAGTTTTTAAACAAAATACATTCTAAATAAAAAAGATACATTCTAGTCGTAAATTCCAGTCGTATTTGTTACAAGTTACTGCAAATTCAAAAACCGTAATGAAAATAGGAAATAATAATTATCATTTAAAAAGTTTATTTTATTGCTTTATTAAACTGCTAAGTTAAAGATAGATTTCTATTTTTATTTATCACTGAAACAAATATTGGAAACATTGTAAACTATTCAATATCCTTTCCCTGTTCTATATAATTTATGATTTTTGATTTTTCTTGGTACAATTTTCATACATTTTGAAGAGTATCAAAATTTGTTTCATCTTTTAGGCAAATTTTAACTAAAGTACGTTTTTTGTTTCGGTTTGAAATGCAGTTTTAAATCATTCGTGCTTCTCCACATTATTTCAGTTTTCATTTTCAGTATGTACTTAAAAAATAATCCTGATATTGTGATACATGTGCACACCCCTTGACTATTACTCATGTTCATAAAAACGGCACTGTTGCCAGTTAGCATATAGTTGGAATTTCTTAGGTTTTTGGAGAAAATGTTCCAGAATAACATTTGCCGATTAAAATTATTCGTATCATGATCTTATTGAAGCCGATTCAAGAACGAGACAAGGCCCCTCTGAGGCCGAGGCCCTGGGCCCGGGCGGCTCATGCCTTGAAACGTCCCTGGGGGGGATGATGTTGGACATTTTTATAAAGAATGACATATAGGAAGTGTTATTACGCATTTATAAAGCATCTGAAAAATTTCTATGGCTGAAGAACCTTAGATTTCAAATAAAATAATTCCTGCATTGATTGGACCACTTTCCTATGACGACTCCTGAGCATTCTTTGATTTATGAGAATTTTGGGAAATACGCAATTTCCAGGGAATAAACTCTGCAACTCGTCCTCATTCAAATGATCGCACAATCTCTGACTCCTATATTTGGAATATGAGGGGAAGACAGCAGTGTTTTGATAAAACAAATTGTGACTTCTATCAGGGCCGGAAACAACAATTCATTATTAATGTACTTGAGAATTTGCGAGAAAGTTACGAGTATGGTCTGAAAACAATAGAAAGAGTATCGGTAATCTACCGTTTAAGAGAAACTATCAGGAGATATTTGAAGCGACTTCTTTATCATTAAGGCAATGCATTATTCACATTTAACAAAACTTTGTTATGAAATCAGTTTTTAATAGTGTTTATTTTGGTGCATGTTTAATTCTTTTTTATTGGTTGACTGAATTTTGTCGTCCATAAGGAAGAGTTTATAGATAAAATGAGGAGAGTTTACATCCTTGATGATTATGTCTATCAATTTCAGGCAATACTAAGGAAAAGAGGTCAATGTTAACAGTTTTTTAATTCGACTAGCTAAGACGTAATATCAGCTGTACAGTGACCTAGAGATAATCAGGTACCAGATTTCGAACATATATAAAAGCATCTCTTAAATTGTTACCCACGGATATTTAAATGACCGAGTACTATAAAGCAAGTGTTCAGAAACAACTTTTCAAAACATTTATAATTGTCTATTTATTTTTTATAAATAATAACAAAAATATAATGCAGTTCCAAGCAATCGTTTGTAAAAATTATCACTTTCATTTCATTAGCACTTCTAATAATTTCAACCAAACTGGTTGCCACTATCAGAAGAGGAACTCGTTGTTTCAGGTTGGGGGCCTAGTCAGGGAACACGTTGTAATTACTGGTGAGAGCAGCGTATTCTCAGATAACGATTAGTTAAGAGTTAAAACTACAATGATTCTGTCCTAATCGTTGTTAAACACTTTACTGATAATGATGTATTCTTTTTTCATTGCTTGTTTACCTACTTTGACATTATTTTGTAATTCCAAGAGTGGATAAATCTAAGTTATGTTCTGTATTAGCAAGATAAAAATAAAAATGAATAAGATAAAATATACAAATGAATTGGATTCAGAATACGGTACAGTTCCACATATTTCAATATTAAAGAAGACATTTTTAACGGAGAAAGGTTCTCATTTCTTAGGACCTATATTATTAATGTGAAATGGCCAATTTCGTTTGTTTGACATGAAACGTTTTCACATGAATCTCTGAAATCGCAAATTTCAGTTGGTATTTACAAGTGAAGCATGAAAAATATCATAAAAATAAAAGTTTTTAAGAATAAGCTAAACGGAATAGCAAATAAATAAGGCATTAATTGAAAAGGAAAATTGGTTTCAGTAGAGAAAATATTTTTTTCATATCAGGGTGCCCTACTCATAGAAAAGGCTGCATGTATAAACACTAATTGCCCATGGGAAAAAATAACCTATTTTCTTCATTGCATTCAGAGATGAAGGTATACCAAAGTCAAGTCTTAATATTTCCAGCAACATTAATGCCAGAATTTTTAAGCCTAAGAATTTTGTGAAAAAGAAATGCAGACTTTTTTATTTTTCACATAAATCACTTTCAACTTTCACAATTTATAGAGCATGGCTCATCTATCCTGTAAGTTCATTAAGTGAATGGAATAAACTAATATTATAAATAAATTGAATTATTCTAAAGCACGCGAGGGCTGTCTGCCAAAGGGAGGAATGCCTTTCTAGGGAAAACTGACTTTAATACACGTTACACATGGTAAAAAACCACTAAAACACACATGCGACCAGTCGAACTATCAATGTAATCTCACGCGTAAGTAATGGATTCTATTAGCTTGGTTGAAGCTGACGCACAATATCCCCTTTGGACACACTGCTGAATTTACACCAATTGATTAGCTGCGAGAAGTATGTCCAAAGCTATAAAGAGACTCTCGAAAATGTTGCTTCTATGATTAAACATATCAAGTCTTATCCACTGAATTTTCTATATTTTAAAATTTTATGTTATAAAGGGACAATCTCCACAAATAAGTTCTTTAGCATTCAGAAATTAAGCGGTTGTAACTGATAAAAATCTTAATTCCTAATTTTTGAACAGCGGTTTGAAGTAAGCAGGGTCGTTCTTAGCGTGGGGTTCAGCGCGTAAAATTCATGGACCTTATAAGAAATAGACCAACCCAAATGGGTTTTCTCCCTCGTCTGACGCGTTCCCGGCTGTCACCTTGATCATATCCGGCATTAGGTCCTTGATCCTTGAACGTGCGCATCATGAGCGCTCCGACGGAGATGGGCTCTACTGCCGAAGTTACTACACGGATGGATGTTAGCGTCCCGCCTGAGACACCTGCCACCACGGAGAGTTGTGTTGGACTTCCCCAGCAACCCCAATCGGATATTAACGAAAACCTGGATTATTATACGGAAAAGCTAATGGACTTGGAAAAGGAAATTGATGCTGTGAAGACCGCTATTAAAGCATGTCAACGACTACGCGCGGTTTCTGACCCGGATACCACTACGGATATCATGACGAAGAACTTACGCATGCTCCAGGCCCAAGCTGCAGAAATAAGAGGTAAGTGCAATTTATCTTGCTCTTCAGGCATTGTCCCCCCTGTTATTTCTAGCATGAAAAGGAAAAATGAGGAAGTTAAAGCTAAGAGGAAAATTAGTCATGGCAACATAATTATAGATAATGATGGTTTAAGTTAATAAGCAGCAAAAATTACATGATGGTTTTAAGTTACCCGTAAAAACTGCTAAGCAGCAAAAATTAGACAAAGTCCCATTAAATTTAGAAACTGTTAATCGTTATTCTGTATTAAATGAAAATTCTAGTAATGAGGAAAATGTAAATGCTGGTAATAACCCAGACGGACAGGCCGTGCAGCAGCAGCCGACCAACAGCCAATCACAGGCTATTCCCCCCATAATGGTTAATCCCGGAAAACTGACCCACGAGGTTTTTCTCAAGGAATTAGCTCTGCAAACTGAAGCCAAATTTTTGGGAAAAGTCAATGGTGAACTTTTGAAAGTCCTACCACGCACTGCGACGACCAAAAAAAAAGTTGAGCACTACGTCATCAACGCAAATTACGCCCGTCCAATCAAAGTGGTTCTCAGAGGACTGTCTATAACCACAAAACCGGAGGATATAGCCACTGCCTTATCGGAAAAGGGATTCGGAATAAGTAAAGTCACACAACTTACAAGACGAAGAACCAAAGCTCCCATGCCTTTATTCCTTGTCCAAATCATCAAAAACGAAAAAGCGGACGAGATATACCAAATCACCGACCTCCTTCTCTTTGCTGTCTCAGTAGAGAAATATATTTCGAAGAATCAGGTGCCACAGTGCTATAACTGCCAAAAGTGGCACCACTCTTCCGAAAATTGTCACTTTGCACCTCGATGCGTTAAGTGCTCACTGGAACACAAAACCATGGACTGCCCCACCAAAGGAAGGATGGAAGAGCCCAAGTGCGCCAATTGCCTCAAAAACCACGTAGCCTCATACCGTGGGTGTGAGAAATTCCCACGAAATAGACCTACCCAGCAAAAAAAGGACAACGCTCTCAGAAAAGGCATCTCCTACGCAGATATGGCAAAAAGACATAACAATATGCTTAATGGAAATACTAAATTTTATCCCACAGAATCGGCTTCTGCTGCACAAAATTTGCACTCAATGACAAATGAAAATATTAAGCTCAGTGATCTAAGCAATGCTTTAAAAAAAATCTAAATATGACCAATAGTGATAACCCTAATAGTAAAAGAAAAGCAAATGTTATGGATAGCCAGGAGAAGCCATAAGGCTCTGAATTCCTTAATTTCATGAAAAACATCGCCGAATTTAACAGTATTCTAGGAATCAATAATATTAGATTGATGAATAATATCTTTAAAAATTATTTACCTAAAATGAAAACCTTGTCTGACCCTGTAGATAAGCTATTTATGTTCTACGAAATTGTTAGTGAAATCAATAATCATGTTTCAGAACAACCCTAATATGCCTCTCACTCTTGTCACGTGGAACGCAAATGGATTGCTCCAAAAAGCCTATGAGCTTAAGGAGTTTTTACATGAAGTTTCCCCCGATATTTT